CATCTCTTATCCTCCCCAGATCCTTCTATTTCCCTACTCATAGAACTCAAAACCCTGTTTTTCTATATCCACAAAACACTCCAAAAAGTATACAAAAAGAATCTCTCTCTCTCTCTCTCTCTCTCTCTCTCTCTCTCTCTCTCTCTCACTCACACACACACACACACACACACACACACGAAGTCCACAAAAACACAAAACTAGAAACCAAAATATTCAGTAGGACAAAAAAAATCCTTAAAGTTATATGAAACTAAAGGTCTACAAAAATACCATTGAGTTCATTTTGTGTTGGCCCCACATCTACTAGGTGTAAGACCTAGACCTACCCTGAAGTTTGGTTAATATGCCTTAACTTTAAAATTAGTGACCCATGTAGCTTTAGTTGGAAACCCTAGGCATAGTCTATGAGTGCCCCTAAGTGATGGGCACTCTGCTCTCTCCAGAGCAGGAGCTACCTCTGTTTGTCGCTTGCAAAGTCTGATGCCTCCTAACACCTCCATGGGTTCTGGCAGACAGGTCCAGCTTCCTTCACTTCCTCCTCTTCTCCAGCATACTATTTTTTCTTTTTAATTTTCTTTATTATTTATTTATTTATTTATTTCTACATACTAATAATCCCAGTTCCCCATCCCTCCTCTCCTCTGATATCCCCTTTTTCTTCACCCTGCTCCCATCTGCTCCTCAGAAAGGTTAAGGTCTTCCCATCACATCGTTGAGAAAAGATTGGTGGTGGACCAAGCACCACCACCACCCCTGTGCCACACACACACCCTGTGCCTAGGCTGAGCAAGGTCTTGCTCCATAAAAAATAGATTCCTCATAGTCTGCTTATACATTAGAGTTAGATCCTGGTGCTACTGCCAGCAGCCCCATATATGGCCCAAGCCACAACATTGTCACTTGTATTCAGGGGACCTAGTTAGATCCCATGCAGGTTCCCCAGTTGTCCTATTGAGTCAGTGATCTCCCACTAGTTCAGGTCAGCTGATTCTGTAGGTTTCTCCATCATGGTCTTGACCCCTTTGTTCATACTATCTCTCCTTCCTCTCTTCGACTGAGGCATGGCCCAGTGGTTAGCTGTGGATCTCTGCATCTGCTTCCCTCTGCTTCTGGAAAAGGGTTCTAGCTTCTCTGGGGTTGTGGACTGTAGGCTGGTTATCCTTTGTGTTATGTCTGGTATCCACTTATGAGTGAGTACCTGCTGTATTTGTCTTTCTGGGTCTGGGTTACCTCACTCAGGCCCAGAGTAGTAATTGTATCATAATAATAATTTCCCCTAATCTTCAAAATTATGAAGCAAAATAAGCTAACAATTGCTAGCTCGAGTGGGAAAGAAATTATAAGAGATTTTTTGATTTAGATGTTTTAGAAGACTTTGCATTTCTGAAATTTTCTATAATAAACGTGTATTGTTTTATTTAGAAAAAAGGTTTTATGAAATATTAAATAACTGGGCTAGATTGCTGTAAGAACATATTCTTTAGAGTGGCACTCCAATGACTCTTGTCATTAGTCTATCCAAACCACTGTAGAAAAAAGGAAAGAACTGTCAAAGGAGCTTGGAGCAAGTTCTGACAGAAAGCGTCAAGTACAGAAGAGCTGTACAACCTCTAATAACTTTATTCTCACAAGATTTTGACAAATTCACTTACCCTGAAGGAGAGAAATGCTAATATTTATATGTGTTTCTTAATATTAAAGAAAGTTCCTGACCGTATGAAACTGTCTCCTCAACCACTTGTAGTGAAGTGAGATAAGATAAAGGATGAGCTATTGGATGTGAAGACCTTCATGCACTTGCCGTGTTTTGCAAACCTATCACAACCTCCAGGAGAGGAGCACATTCAGCCTCCAGGCACGGCCTGGGACCTAACGCACAGCTCTCTATGTCCTGGAGATTCCTCGGGGTAGTAGCAGGGTTCTCCTGGCTATGTTAAAGCAATCACCAGCATGTCTTCATGTCAGCTTTAGAGCGTCACACACCTAAGAGCACCGTGAGACTTGGATGCACCGGGAATACAATCATTACCTTACTTTAGGTACAGGAGAAAATGTAAGGATCACCAAGGGCTCTAGCACTCCGGACTTGATCTGAATAGGCAATAAGGGAATGAAGAAGGGTCAAGCCACACAGATACACGCATGGGAAAGCTGAGATGGGGTGGTTGTACCTGCTCTGGTAGAGGAAACCTACACTGCCACAACCCAGGACAGCATCAGGAGGCAAGTTAGCTAGTCTCAGTGTGGGTGTCCTAAGGGGAGCAATCATCTGGGAGGAGGAAGCTATGGTCGCTAGTTTTTGTGCACACTGGCCCATCACTGTTTTCACTGACGATAGATGGAATGGTGTGGGGTCGGGAGTATTCGGGTTTTTACTACAACCCTACCACCAACTAAGAAAAGAATCATAGAACCAATCAACCTCCTCAAACATCAGGTTTCTTATCCATTAAAATGTGAGTCAGTGAGAATGAACTGGAAAACTTCTAAAAATTGAAAGTACAAAAGAAATTTTAAAAAGTTTCCATTTTTTTTTTTAGGTCATAAACATCATTAAAAATTGCCTGGAAGACCAAATCCGAGCACCACCCTGAGGAAATGCAGATTTCACAAACAGAACATCCTACTTTTAAAGGTAAAGGACAGGATCTGAACTGAAAGGCAAAGGAACTTTAGAGAAACCAATGAGATGAATTAACACTGGCCTCACACAGTGAGCAAGAAACACCGAAGCTGGCAGGTTGTCAGGTAGCCTGCTCTCACAGACCAAACTGAAACTTTAAGCCCATGAAAGATCAGTGGAAAGAAATTCGTGTGGAAGACAGAGTCCTCAGAAGTAGTTCACACGGATGGACAATGTGTGCGATGGCTAATTGTCTTCCTGGTCGGCAGCTCTAGGGACTGAGGCTGCCTTCACAGAGGTCTCTAGGAGCAGCTAACACAGCCAATGCTGAGCGGCACAGCTCTGTGGGTTATGACGCACGTGGGAGTCAGGCTACTACTGATTATATCACCGCTTCAGGCAGAAAGCCCAGCTGCTGTGTCAAGTCTGATAAAAATGGAAAGTGCACCCCACTTGCTGGTAGCTTTCTCCCCAAGCACTTCAAGAAACTGTGAGGCCAGCTTTTGTAATGGTGCCTATTATGCAATGGTAGACAGGGGTAAACTATGGCCCCAGGAACTCAATTTTCTACAGGCTTTTTAGAAATGTAGCCATGTAAATTTCTCTAATGGAAACAGCTGGAGAAATAGAGATATCAAGCCCATGAGGACATCAAAGCCCTCATTGTGGGGGAAAGCCCCCACACAGGAAAATATGTGGGCCTGATTTCTTCCATTCTGGAAGGGGGAGACCTGAGTTTCTTGGGCTTGGATGAGAGACTGAAGATCTGAGAAGCGAGACAAGAACACTGAAGCCGGCAGGTCGGCAGGTAGCCCGCTCTCACAATGGCATGCTTTAGTCTGAAAGGTACAGAAGAAACTTCTGAATTCTTAGATGGTGACAATCAAGATCAGGAGACCTGCCTCTGACCTGTCTCCCTTCAATCCTGCCACCTAAGGAGCTGTCACACTTACTGTAAGATACATGCAGAGTTTTGTTTTGTTTTTCAGAATATTGCCCAATGTATGGAGAAGCGTCCCAGAACCATTCTCTTTGTTCTTTGTGAGAGATTACAAGCTAGTATTTCTTACAGTGCTTAACCTTCCAGCCTCCACTATCCCCAGTGTCAAAAATCAGTTGAAAGTAATTGTTTGATTTTCAAAATTCTTTACAACACTCAACATGCACCATTTCCTCAGAATCTTACATGTCTTTGTCCAAGCATTAGGTCAACAGGGACACAGATGACAAGAGAGTGGGTTTTGGAGTCAGAACATTCTAGTTTCAAATCTTCATCCTACCCCTTTACTGGCAGTAATGACTGAGTAACCTCAAACAATAACTTCTCTGATTGTTTTTTTCTTTTTTAAAAAATGAATTGTATCCATTGTTGTTTCTTATATGTAAACATGAAGTGTATGTGGCTATACGTATCCACAGTGTGTGTGTAGCAGTCAGAAGGCAACTTTGTGGAGACTGCTCTCACTTCCACCTTTATGTGAGTTCTGGGATCAGGATGCAAGGTTCCCACAGCAAAATCTTTGCCCCTCTGAGTCATATGATCAGCCCTGACACTCAGTTTTTTGACCTACAAAGTGGGATCATGTCACAGGTATGTGGTAAGGCACATATATTTTCTCTTTCTATGTACCCAGGGGTGGTTTAGACACTAGATAAATGTCTGCATAAAGACTAGACCAGTACAAGGCCTAAAATGGAGATATCACAGGCAACCCCTTTGAGAAGGATCTCATCTTTATCAGTTAATTGGAACTGTGTTCCCCTTCCATCACACAGCCACTGAGGATGAGGAATTGGATGTATTCTTCTCAATCTACCCACTGAGAGCACACAGTAATATTCCCTTGCTTTTACTCTCACAGTGCCCCAGGTACTTTTGAGGAGAAATCCAAGACTATTAAAGAAGAGAAAACAAGGTTGTTGAGATGGCTCATTTGCACATAGGTCAGATGACTCGAGTTCAAGTTCCTGGGTCACACACGGTGACAGAAGAGACCTGGCTAGCAAGAGTTTTCTGACTTCCACAAGTGAACTGTGGCCTGCACGCATGGCACACATACACACACACATGAAAATATTCTAAAAGAATGAAAGTGCAACTAGAAACATAAAAATAACATCAACATCCTTAGATGCTAACCCTAGTGAGAATTTGTTAGACATCATACTCTTTTTAAAAAGCATAATAAACATTAAGCCTTTTGAACAGACACACAAGCATGTTAAATTTAAAACAAAATAGTGCCTCAAACTCAAAAGTGTTTTAAGGGTCCTGATCTTACTATTTCTCTGGCTAACTGTAGGAAGCCACCTATCTATCACCTTGTGTGCAATTAGCTTATTGTGTAGATAAGAAGGTAAAACCATCCTGAAACAGGAAACCAATATTCTTCCTGTCTAATCAACAAATCTAAAAGATTTATTCTTTTCATCTATCTTCTCTTGCTCTTGTCCACCACAACAGGCTGCTTACAGGCTCAGGATGGTTTTGACAAAGAGCATTTTCATGAGTTACTTTTGTATCTCCACCCCCTCTTAAAGAAAAGAGGAAAATTTGTTTCATACAGAAGGCGTTCATTGTATGAATGAAAACTGCCACCTAAGTGTGGGCTAACTCAACCAAGAGGGATTTCACCTACATCCATTCAGTCAGTTTATGGGGGTTTAAAGAAATTCCAGAGAGTCATCAGAAGAGGAAAAACAAAGGTGATGCTTTCTGCCACTCAGGTAGTCTTTGAAAATATGTGTAATATGTAAAACATTCTGACACCCCCGTATTATTTTTCCAGCATTAACAGTATAAATTGCCTCCCATGCTGAAGTGCTGCCTATCACCCTTGCTAATCACTACTTGCAGTGACCTCAAGTACTGCAGGCATGTTCAAAATGCAGCTTGCATCCTGTGTTGTACTGATGTTCGCACTCCTCGTCAACAGCGCGCCCACTTCAAGCCCTACAAAGGAAACACAGCAGCACCTCACGCAGTTATTGCGGGACTTACAGATGCTTCTGGGAGAGATCAATGTAAGTGCCTGTCTTTCCTATCTGTAGACATTACCTTCAGCTTTATCGCCAAAGGTTGTGTTTTAATAACAATGTGTTATGCTTTCTCAGGATGACAGGAATCCGAAACTCCCCATGATGCTCACGTTTAAATTTTACATGCCCAAGAAGGTAAGCAGGTTTCTGTGTTCAACTGGTGCTTTAATGAACTCAAAGTTATATGCTTGTTTGCACACTGATCAGATGAATAAACCCTCATCTGAAGAAAAAAGTTACTTTAATATCTCTGTGTAAAAGTTCTTGTTTAATAATGGCATTGATTTTAAATGATTATGTCTACATGTTTCTTTTGAATTTGTTATCTGTGTGTTGGGGAAGAGGAAAGGAGAAGAAGGCATTTTGATGCTGGGATAAGTTAGACTGTACTTATCTCTATTTTATGCTCACCCTAGAGATATTTGAATAGGAGGCATTATTTTATGTTGTGAAATGTCAAAACCGACTTCAGAGATACTCACTTTATAAATACTTTACTGTTTTAAGGAAGATTCCTAAGACTCTATGTTTAAGGAACAGTGTATCCAGTATTCACAGACGGTAGGACAGATGATATGAAATGAAGGCCCAGCTCTGCTAGACCCTAACTCTCATGGCCTCAGGAAGTTGCCTATATTCATTCACCTACTTACATAATGATAATTGTATGCTTATAGCTCGATAGGCTTCAGAACAGTGTCTGGACAACACCACATAAGCATGCTGTGAGGACTAGTGAAGAAAAGGTCTGAGGCATATAAACAATTTTGGATTTATGTAGTCTTTTTCTAACCAGGGGAGCCAGAGAGCTGTAATATTTCTATACAATACTATCTCCCAATACTGAAAGTTTGTATGATAAGAAACAGCTTCCCCAGGCTCTTAGAGCTCCCTCAAGGGTAGAAGTTTGCTAGAGTCCTGACAGCCAAAAGATAACTAACAACTCTGACGCTGGAAAAAGCTTGTCACAGGATAAATCCAAGCCTAGAGCAAAATGGGATCTGAGGGACCAAAAGGGCAACGCTGCTGACCCACTTCTATCAAGTCAGGAGCTCTCTCTGGCTGTTCTACTGGAGATGGAAAGGAAATGGCCTCTAAGAGCTAATCTGCTTAACCAGATTAGCTTTACTAATATATAACTTTCAAGTCCAACAATAACAACTAGATAGTTCTGTGAGGGAAAGAGCTCCACACTGAGCATGCGGAACTCCTCCTAACAAGTCGGAGGAAAACAGGTGGACAGATCCGGAAATACATGCTGTCTGATCAGACCTCCCTCTCTAGGGATCCCTAGAGAGACATGAGGTCATGTCAGAGAGTGGTGAAATTCCTAGAAATCTAAGTTTTTAAACAACTATTGGAAACAAGAGTAATGTGATAAAGTCTGTTGTGTTTTTTTCATTTAACCTCCATTTTGTATAAATGTAAGATTTTAAAAATGATAGAAACATTTAATTCGAAGGGTGCAGTTAATGAGAAGGAGTGCCCATGCCACCCTTGATCCACCTACTCTTGTGACTGTGGTACTGAGACTTAGTAAAATGAAGATGACCCAGGTCACAGCTTGCTTCTAGAGGACCTCAAGACTTAAAGTGGCTTTTATGGAAATCATAGTGCACTATAGTACTAGACAGTATTCTTTCTCATTGCCTATATGCATAAATATGCATGACATATGTATTTATATATTCTTTCAGAAATATACAGGAAACTTCTCCAAATAGTCTGTCCAAGTACTGTGACTTATTATTTCTTGGGGACAAATAGTTTTTAAATTACATATTTGTGCTTGTATGTGTGGAGGTGCATGTGTACCAGAGTGTACCTGTGGAAGCCAGAGAACAAAATGTGAGAGCTGGGTCACTCCTTCCCCAATGTGGGTCACTGAGGTTGAATTCAGGTCATCAAGTCTGGTGGCAAATGTTTTTACCTGTAGAGCCATCTTTCTAGCCCTGACAAATAGGGTTTTTTTTTTTTAAATCATTTTTAGTAATTGCAGAGAAATAAAAATTTAAGAAATACTAAACATGTCTTCCTGGACATTTTGACAGTCATCATTCTGGGTCACGATAAGGTCTGTACGATTTGGGTCTGTGACAGCAGGGTTCCAAGGACTCCTGTTCCTCACCGTCTGTGTTCTCAACTCTGAGATTATTAGACATTAGAGTGTAGACTGGGAATCTTGCACTTCCACATTCTTTGATTTCTCTGCTGATAGGAAATGTAGTCTGTACCTTTGATGTGCATTGTGATAGGGAAATACAGACTTTTTACAAAGTCTAATGAAGCTAGATCAAAGCACTCACTAGAGTGACCTAACAGCTAATGTTAACCACAGGGCTTTGTGCTCTTGCTCCACTAGATTTAGGATATCCACTATTTCAGTTTCTCTTTACACTGAGAACAGGGAGTGGGTAAAAGCTATGTGCTGTCTACTCTTGGTTAGATAAGCTGCATATTGCCTTCTGGCTCCTCTTATAAGGTGAGCTGAGCTAAGAGTTATGCTTATTATCCTCCAGGCCACAGAACTAAAACATCTTAACTGCCTAGAAGAAGAGCTCGGGGCTCTGCAGAGTGTGCTGGATTTGGCTCAGAGCAAAAGCTTTCACTTGAAAGATGCTGAGAATTCCATCAGCAACATCAGAATAACAGTTGGGAAACTGAAGGTAAGATGTTGCTTGATTTGCTGAACTGGAAATAAAATAAAGGAAAGAAGAATTGCACTCTGAAGTGGCATGACATTTCTGGTCTTTGTCAGGTTCCATGCATTTTATCAGACAAAATTTAAAGTCTGCTGAGAGCATGAATCCTTCTACTGCAGGATGATGCTAGAGTCCCCACCCACCATCACCTGCAAGGAAATTCTGGGAGCACCCACCCTGCTTACTCTCACACTAGCATAAAATTGGAAGCGAGAGAAAGTACTGAATAGAATTCCACAAGGAACAGGCAACGTTCGTTGCCTTCAAATGTTTATCAGACCAGGACCAACGATCTGAAAGGCTTTTCCAGAGAGGTGTGCTGTCACTGGTGGAAGAACAGAGATTTCTCTCCAAAAATAGTAGCCATTAAAATGTCAGAGGAGGACAGTGAGCACCCATTTCAGGGATTTATTTTTAAATGCACAAGAAACACTGAATTTGGTGAGGCAAGGGAGAATTGCAGTTCTCTTTTCTCAATCCATCTGTTAAACAAAATTGCTGAGTTGACAGGTATCCTGAACAAGGAGCATCATTTTGATTTCTGCAGTAGCAAGTCTCCAAGAGGGTGTCAGGCTAGTCCTTTTCAAACAAAACTTAATTTTTCTTTGCACTGCTTTCATCTGATACTTGTAAAATAGGCTGAGAACTACATCTAGGTGTTGAAAGTCTCGGGTCTTATCTATGCAAAAAAAGTCTGCTCTAAGAGCTCTGGCCAACACCAGAAGTCACCCTAAACGAGTGGTATACATTTTCGAGGTGCGTAAAAACTAGGAAGGCATGTTTCAAGAGTCACATACTTAAGAAAAAAACCCCAAGATATTAGAACATTAAAGTAACTATGCAAAATAAGATCACGGTAACTTGCTTTAAAAGGAACATTTATTCAGAAGAAATGCTCTGCGCCTCACTGACTTACAAGGGATTGCTCAGATTTGGAAAAACTGTTCCCGAAACCTGTCAAAATATTTTCTTCTCAGCTTTTTATCTAGAAACAGAGTTAAAATATTTCCTTAGCAAAGGAGGTTAGCTTCCAGAAAGTCCATCTACACAACAAATTTAGAATATTTCTACTTGCACAAACTGGAGAATCATCTGCATTGATATCAAGGCATATATCTATATTTATGAAATGTTCTTCTCCAAATTTCCCTCACTAGTCTTCTGTCCTAACCTACTCTGGGTTGTTCCTATCCTGATTTGGGAAAATAAGAGAAAGCTCTAGAATGCTTCTCAGCTCCTTAAGGTTTAGAATTTTAAGGTTTAGAGAAGAACATATATCAGTACATAGCTGTGTACACTTACCAGAGAAAAAGAGGTCCAAACCACTGCATTCTATAAAGTGCTCAGTGTTTTCATTCAAACATTCAGTTGTACTCAACTCAGGGAAATTTTATCTCGGATGGTTTATCATTTGGCATCACAATAAAACACAATCTGACAATTATGATCACTCAAGAAGTGTGAATGACTAATACAAGTGTTAAATGGATGCCTATAGAACGTTGGTGAGAAACAGCTGCACGTAAAGTAAACTCCGTAGCCTAAAGCTTACTGTTCTTTTTCAGGGCTCTGAAAACACATCCTCATGTGAATTCGATGATGAGACAGTAACTGTGGTGGAATTTCTGAGCAGATGGATCACCTTCTGTCAAAGTATCATCGCAACAATGACTCAATAATTATGTGCCTCCTTCCTACAACACAGGGCTTTCTATTTATTTAAATATTTAAAGTTATATTTATTTTGGATGTATTGTTTACTATCTTTGTAATTATTAGTCTTCAGATGATAAATATGGATCTTTAAAGATTCTGTTTGTAGGCCCCAAGGGCTTTAAAATGTCTTAAATTATTTATCTGAAATTATTTATTATATTGAATTGTTAAATAGCATGTCTGTGTAGATTCATTAATAAAAGCATTTAGAAGAGTTGGTGAATATAAATAAGCTCAGGTGTCTGTCATTTTGAGGACAACGTGGTGTAAGTTCTAGAATGCTTCTCAGTTCCATGAATTCTATGATGGTCATAGCATGCTTACAAGAATCACTCTACCCCAGAGAAGGATGTAAAATGAGACAGGAATGTGCACTCTCCTGTAAGCATTGATTGGCTCTTTAGTTCCTTTCCTTTAAATTTTAACAGGACACTAAACAAAAATTCTTGAAACCTTTTGTCATAGTCTGCTTTGTGTCGTAACAAAACAAAGTTTTGATACTTTATACAGAGAAGTTTAGCTCACAGTTTTGGACATTCAGGAGCATGTGAGGATATCATGGCAACATGGCATCTCCATAGTTGGGAGTATGTGAAGAAGACAAATGGTGTGTGTGGGTGTGCATGTGTATGTGACTGATAAGAACCCATTCTTTCAGGAAACAGTCCCCCTTCCATACAAACTTAAACAGCATTATTCATAAGGTCATCATTGGGCCATAGCATAATTACCCTGCACCAACCCTACCATTTCCCACCACGTTCACACTGCCACATTTTACACATGAACCTTTGAAGGACAAATCAGCACATCTCACAGAATAATGTGCTTGCCCTCTACAGTTTAACACTGCTCTTGGCTTGTACGAGCCTCACCTGGCTAAATCAAAAGGCTTCTGTTCTCTGGTTTTTCTCTGGGTTCAGTATCATGGGAGGTGTAAGATTCAAAGGAAGATCTTCCTACCTTTGGCTGTGCATCTTGGCTAGAGTCCACCTTCTCTCGAGGTGATTTTATGGGTATATTTTCTTCCTGGATCTTACTTTTCCTTCCATGTCTCCTTTAAAGCTGCGGGTGCTCATTAGCTGTTGCCAGGCATAGGGTACCTGTGCTGTCCTTTACAGACCAGCACTTCAAAAGCCACCCCTTTCCAATCTCCAATCTCCCTTCTGGGGAATGCCACCTGCTTCCGGCTGAGGCTCACATGTACTAATTGTATTAGAAATAGCACCGGGAAATACATCCCCAAATTGGACTCTGGAGTTGTACTGCTCATATATGGAAGGAACACAGCAATAGCATCACATGGTATGTCCCGGATTCATGCTACGCCAATGGTAGCATGTGATGAAGTGAAGCTAAAAGACAAGCACTACATGGAATGTTCTGATTTCATGGTGTGCTAATACCATTTATATAACTATCTGTATAATCTCTTTTTTACTTAAAATACTTTAAATAGTAGAATGAACTCTTGAAGAGGGAATAGAATATGCTACACAAATACTAATCCTGAACAACAGCAGCAACAACACCACCAACAGAAAAGCAGAACAAAAACTACAGGTAGCCAGAGTATACTTTAAAGCAAGAAGAGCAGAGACAAAGTCATGACTTTATACTGATCAGTGAGTTCATTCAACAAAGCATATACCAGTTCTAAATGTGATCCATCTAACTGTAGCACAGCTTCCAAGTACACAGACCAAAGCTTCTGCATCCACCCTTGATAGAGCATGTTACCAGAGCAGCCCTCTTGTGACCATCCATGAAAAGGGGACTCTGACTCACAGGCAGGACATGTGACACTAATAAAGTAGGCACAGTTGAGCTCACACACACACACACACACACACACACACACACACACACACACAAAACCACTGAAATTTTACTGACTTGAAACAGTTTAGAGTTTAGGTTCACTAACGCAATCTTGAAGAATGTGTGAACTATAGTAACAGAAAAGCGGCAACTATAAACAGTGGCTACAGAAATATAAATAAAACATCTAATTTTTGTTTTCTGGGCAACAAACTTAGAAGCACCAGAATCTACAACTCCAAACCAAGAATAATAATCAGGGGAAGAACGTACACTGGAATACCATAGCCACAAAAGCTAATGATGCTGAAACTGTAAAGCATCTAGGTTCAATAAATCAGGATGGAGAAAGGCTTGGGCCACCCTGGGGATGTGCCACAAACCAAGAAGGCTGGGTCTTAGAAATCGAGAGCCACGCAGCCTCCCTAACCTGGAGCAGGAGTAGTCTAACTTCTGGGCACAGACCAGCAGGAGAGCTCCACAGTGAAGGCACTTGTGGCAAAGCCTGGTGACTCAATTAGAGGAGAGAGCTGCCTTTTGCACGTTGTCCTATGACCTCCATAAGGGTGTTATACATAGCACTGTGTGTCACTATGTAGCCCAGCCTGGCTCCTGCCCGCGAGTGCTGGGCTACATATATAATACCACCATGCTGGTTTTAGCACCATTTTTGTTCAGTTGTCTAATACGGGTTTAAACAAGTGTGGTGAAAGGGAAAGGGTTGAAAGGAATAGGTTAAAATATTACTATAGAGGCCAGACAGGTGGAGCACCCCTTTAATCTTAGCACTCTGGGAGGCAGAGACAGGAAGATCTCTGTGAGTTTGAGGCCAGCGTGGACAGCCAGGGCTCTTACATAGAGAAACCCTGTCTCGAAAAACAACAACAAGAAAAAGTTTACCACTCACAGATGGTAAAGGAAAGATATAAAGTGAAAAATACTAGGATTAATGGGTGAGTTTAATAGGATTACTAATAATATGGCCAATATACATGTGCAGTCAATTGTATTTTTATATGCCAGCATCACAAGAAATGTATCTGAAAACAATACCATGTACACTAGAACCCCAAACATCAGAAATCTGGGAATAATTGTAATAAATATATGGTTGTTAAAATAAGAAGATATTAAGCAACATTAAGAGCCAAATAAATTGAGTGAGCTAATCGATTACTGAATTATAAGGCCTGGTATCTTAAGATGTTAATTCTTCATAAGTCTATAAAATTAATGAAATTACACCTAAATATTCAGTAAATTTTATATGGATGTATACAACAAAGAAAAAGAAGGGCTCAGGTGTTGGTATTAGATGTGTTAATGACTTTAATGCTTAGGTCTTTTCACTACAGCTATATAAGGAAAGGTATGCCAGTTAAAGGCTACCAGTAGTTAGACGAGATGATGAAAATGGAAGGGGTTTGATTTTTCTTTTTAGTAGACTACCTAATCTTAGGTTGTCTTGTTCATCATTAGAATGTGAATAACGTGATCCTGAGCACATGAAAAGCAGAGCTTTGAAGAACATCATGTGAAGATTTGAAGGAAAGTTAGATAGGGTTGATTTACACCTAAAGTTACTATAAGGCCTAGTCAGCTGGATGTAGAAAAGGCTACATTTTTTAATGTACTATTATTTGAAATAAGTGTGTAAAATCAGATTGTTAAGCAGATCCCTGCAACAGCTATATTACTCAGTACTTGAGTGAAGGAGTGCTGAGACCGGGGTAGGGCCATCTATGGCTGATGGGAGTCAGGAGAGGAAGCCAAGTTGTTTGCCTGGGGCTGTTATTAGAAGGCCCAGGAGAGGAATTAAATTGATGTTTTCTTTTTTTTTTGAAGTTCTCAGGAGTTGATGTCTGGAGAATCATGTTATAACTAAAATGAACCCAATGCCTCTAATGTGATTAATAAGATTGCTTAGAGGGTTATGATGCTTGTGTCGGCTCAACCAAATCATCAGCTAATAAGAAGAAATAATACAGTACCTATGCCTTTCCTAACCAATAGTTGTTGGCTGAAGTAAGGATAATTAGGTGATTAAAATAGGAGATATTTGATCAGACAGTTTAGGTGGGCCTCGGAATAAATATACCATGAGAAAACTCTATTATTGATCAGATTACAAATAAAAAAGTCAAAGGTAAAAAGAGGAGACAGAAATAGTCAACTTTTGAACAGATAGTCTAAAAGAATTAATAGCAATTCAGTGTCAGTATTCAGGAGTGTTAGAGTAGAAGAATATTAGGGGTGACAGGCTCGGAAGAAAAGCATATTTAATAGATGAAGTTATATATAAGGGAAAATTAATTGATTTAATAATGTCAGCTACAGATATAAAAATTGGAACACTAAGAAGATGGAAGATGAGGTCATATTTATTAGTTTTATTTGGTGTTACACCAAGTTTTTGACTCCTAAGGTCAAGATATTACTTCTATCCTATAAAAGCAAGAAAGCCATATGTTTTTATATGGAAGCAGGGATTAGCAGTTCATAGTTTATTGATAAATAAGAAGCTGACAACTCCTATTATTATATTCAGTCTAATGTTTTTTGTAAACTGTATTTACAGAAGGTGTATTCTATAATGAATTTGGAGTTAATATAATTAATAAAATTAGTTTGCCTCATTGAGCTGCAATAATTATGTACATAGAGTATATGGTGGTAATAAGAATATTTATGCCTATAAGGATATGAGGCTTAGGCCAATAAAGATATGCATATGAGGAAAACATTAGAAAATCAACAATCTAAGCCTTAAAATTTTATAGACATATACAAACTTAAAATAGTCAAGATATTTTTGAAAAACAAAGCATTCGTGCAAGCACCACATGGCTGGTGCCTTCTCTTGAAACAACACTGGGCCAACACTGGCTCCGTGGGTGAGGGCTCTTGTCCTGAAAGCCTGACTGTCTGGGTTCCACCCGAGGAACACAGGATGGAAGGAGAAGACTAGATCCATTTGGGGGTGGAGGGGGACTTACTCCCAAGTTGTCACCTGACCTCCACACACATGCACACACAATATAGCACATGACACTGTCCAAAAGTACTCTTGTTTAACAACCTGACACTGAATTTGAGGACTCTAGATTCAATATTGGTTTTAGAAAATGAAACAGACTGGTAAATGTTATTGTGGAGATGAAAGAGACAAAACTAATGTGGAAAACTCTACATAAGAGTCAGTATTTTGGGCATATTCAGTTAAAAAAAAGAGTAATAGGAAACCTATAGACTGATACTCAGCAGCTAAATCCCGCTATACACACCATGTCAATTCTGGTGCCAGCAGTCTGCATACACAATGAATACTACTGTTACGGTGTACTAACTGACTCATAGTTATGCGCCCAAACATACTTTTACCTTTTACTGTTCATGAA